ATACTGTGGCAAGTATGTGCCCACATCTGCACACATAAACAGGAGGACATACATGCATCACCAAAAAAAAAAAAAAAAAGGGTATTTAAAGTGAAAAGCAACACTTATTCTTGCAAAAGACCTAGGTTCACTTCCCTATACCCACAGGACAGCTAATAACCTTCTGTAACGCCAATTCCAGCGGATCCAACATCTCTCTTCTGACTTCTGCAGGCTCTGGCATGTACACTGTGCACATACAACTCAGGCACATACACATAAATTAAGGTAACATTTCTTAGACTTTCAAAAAAAGTGTAAATGTAGAGTGATAGAAAGCACTTTGACCTCTGTCCTCCACATACATAGGCAGGAATCTATACACTTGGGAGGCGCTCTCTCTCTCTCTCTCTCTCTCTCTCTCTCTCTCTCTCTCTCTCTCTCTCTCACTCACACACACACACACACACACACACACACACACACACACACGGAGAAAGGAAAAGTAATTCAGACTGCAGAAAAAAGGTAAAGAAAAAGCAAACTAGCTATTACAAGTAAGCACAATACACAAACAAATGTGAAAAGAGCAGACTCTAGAGTTCCACACAGATAAGAGAGAGAATTCCAAGGGAAGCAGAATAAGCAAGCTGTAGTTGCCCAAACACAGCAGTCATTTCCCAGCTGGCTTCCCTAATGGTCTGCCACCCCACTAAAGCTGTCTCCACAGGACCCAAGTATCTTTTTGAGGCAGACTTGATAATGTCACTGCCCATGGCAGTGTTTTCATTCCCTCAAACATGCCTTGTTCCTTCTATTTTCACTCTCTCTCCCTGGAAAGCTGTCTCGCCACCACTCCTCCTATTCAGTCTTTAAGCACTCTGATAGGTAAAATTCTTATTGTACATAACTCATTTGTTGTATGTGACAGTTGTAATTTTATGATTATGATTTTGATTGAGTCTCCTTACTATTCAGGAGACTCAGGAAACCACAAGCTCCTGAGTGCAGTGACTAAACATAGCATGTTGAATGAACAGAGAAACCTGCTGAAATTATCACAAGTGAAAAGGGGGTATGCCATCAATCAGTGTATGAATGTCAGTAAAAGAAACAAAGGTGGAAAAGAAAATCCAACCCAAGTACAAGACAGAAGGTCCCATAGCCGTTGTTGTCTAGAGAAGCTACAAAACAACAGAATTAGAATTCTCCTTAATAGTTACAGCATATTCCAGAGCAAAGCTATCAAACATTCACTTGAGACGTGGGTCCCAGAAGATCATCACTCCCCTTCTCAGTCCACTCAGTCTCAATAAATGGCACTAGGTTCCCAGTGCCTCATACTGGAATCTTCCTTTACTCTCATCCTAAGTGGATACTGCATGAATAAATCTTACAAACTTTATACTGGACTATCTTCAACCCCCTGACTCTCCTTTTCCAATTTTCAAACCAGGCTCACTTCTACCAAGACTGCTACAATATTTTGTTTGTAATTCATATCCCTTTTATTCCTGTACTATGTAATTTATTGCAGACAGAGCAGCCAAAGTGACCTCAAAAAAAAGGGGGGGTCTCATGTATTCCACAGGGATGACCTTGAACTTCTGACTCTCCTGCTTCCACCTTGCAAGTGTTCACCACCCTGTCTGTTTTATGCCATGCTGGGGATCAAACCCAAGCCTTTGTAGATACTAGCCAAGCACTCTACTACTGAGCAAGCACCACAGACATATGTATATGTAAATTAATTAGGACACTTTTTGCCCCCAGTTCTCCAATGGCTTCCTACTACCTGGAAGAGATGTAATTACAATCCTGAACCACAGGGCTTCTACCACTGTCTCCTTTTATTTAAGCCATGAAACCACATACCACCTCTGAACCCTTGTGTCTATCACCTCCTTAGCAGTATCTCCTGATCAAGGTGCTTACCTGGCACCCCTCTTTAAAGACCCTGCCTGCCAGCCACCCTCCCTTCCTCCTCTTCTTCCTTGGTTTTTTGAGACACAGTTTCCGTGTGTAGTCCTGGCTGTCCTGGAACTCACTCTGTAGACCAGGGTGGCCCCAAACTCAGAGATCCGCCTGCCTCTGTCTCCCCAGTTCATGGATTAAAGGCGTGCGCCATGACAGCCTGGCAAGAACAACTTTCCATCGTTACTCTCTATGCTTCTTCCATGGCCTTTATGACATCGTAATCATCTAGTTTATTATCATTGTGTTCTAGATACAAGAACATGACAGCAAAACTACAAGCAAATTGCTTCACTGGAGCTTTTATTTCTATAGGGATGAAGGCAGAAAGAAATCATTTGATTATCTGAAGAAAATAACAGTATTCCATGTACAAGGCTGCAGATTTGTAAGCACAGGTGGCACCAGGACATTATGGACAGATGCTAAGTTTGAGCAGGCCTCAGTAAACTGATAGAAGTTTTAAAAACTGAGCATAAGACTGCTCTGAATGCATTGTTTTGTTTTTTACTGGTTGACAGTTTCTTCCATTAAAATAAACGTTCTATGAGGGTGTGACTTTGAGTATTTCATTCACTGTTTTATTCCAACCAAGTAGACTAGACCACTAAAAATGGTAAGTTAAGAAAAAAACCTACATTTTTCAAAAAAACTGTCAGCCGGGCGGTGGTGGCACATGCCTTTAATCCCAGCACTTGGGAGGCAGAGGCAGGCGGATCTCTGTGAGTTCAAAGCCAGCCTGGTCTACAGAGCAAGTTCCATGACAGCCTCCAAAACAATACAGAGAAGCCCTGTCTCCAAAAACAAAAACAAAAAAACTGTCAGAGAAGACCAAAGCATAATACATGGGTTATTTAAAATACTAAACCTAGGGGCTGGAGAGATGGTTCATGGTCAAGACCTCTTGCTGCTCTTGCAGAGGACCCAAGTTCAGGTCACAGCCATCATACTTCCACTTCAGGTGACTGATGCTTTCTTTCTCACCTCTTTGGGCACCTGGTTCACACAGGTTGCACACACATGCAAGCAAAGAATCATACACAGAAAATAAAAAGGTTGTAAAGGATGGGCGGTGGTGGCACACACCTTTGAACCCAGCACCCGGGAGGCAGAGAAAGGCGGATCTCTGTGAGTTTGAGGCCAGCCTGGTTTACAGGGTGAGTTCCAAGACAGGTTCTAAAAGCTACAGAGAAACCTTGTCTTGGGGAAAAAAACTTATAAAAATAGTAAATCCTAAAAGCCCTCATATCTATAATCCTAGTGCTTGAGAAGCTGAGGCAGGTGGATCTCCAGAAGCTCAAGGCTGGCCTGGCCTACATCTATCTGTACATTTATAGACACCTGAGTTAGAATAAACTAAAGCAATCCACAATCACATCTACCTGTCAGTGATGGCTGTGTGCTTGTTTTACCCTCCCTGTGTTTATCCACTCAGACTTTAAACTACAGAAGCCCCAAACTTACAAAGGCCTACAAGTCTAATTCCTGGGGAATATGAACATCAGAAAGCCATCTATTGAGTTTCCAACTTACAAACAAACAAAACAGGCATAGCACTACCTGCAAAACTCCTCTCTCGGCCCGTAGGCAGGTTATCAACCATGGTCAAACTAGTATGGAGAGAATAGGAAATGAATGAAAACATACAAGCTTTCTTTATCTTGTGAGGAAAACACAGAAAGGTTTCATCACTTTTTATATAAACAAAGAAAGGTAAGCTTTCCCCCCACTTCCCCATTCTCAAGTACAAAGAAGAAAGAAAATTACTTTTGCTCTTCTCTTAGTCTCCATTCATTAGCTGGAGGACCTACTTTGTGAAGCAGTAAACAGGGCATTAAGCCACCCTCCTACAGAACTTGTTACCACTAAGGTGCTTTCTTAATTTTAAATATATTAAATACATTTGTAATTTAGTAATGCTTCTAAACCATATCTTAAAGCATGGCCTGGATATATTTCATGGGGGGAGGGGACTTCAAATTACTCCAAGAGTAATTATTCTTTTGTTGTTTTTGGTTTGGCTTTTCAAGATAGGGTTTCTCTGTGTAGCCCTGGTTGTCCTGGCACTCACTCTGTAGTTAGTCCAGGCTGGCCTCGAACTCAAGAGATCCGCCTGCCTCTGCTCCCTAGTGCTGGGATTAAAGGCGTGCGCCACCACTGCCAGGCAAGAGCACTTATTCTTACAAGCACTGAATGCAGACTCATTTTCCTAATTATACCATAAACTCAATTATACCAGAAAAATTAAAGTCGTGTGAACGTTTACGTTCCCGGCCCACAACTGTATCTGTATTGTCAGGGTCCCTATACAGACACAGGCAAACCTTAACCACCACCCCAAACCGAAACATAGCTTTTAAGCCGGCTTAGTGCACCAACCGAAAATAGTTAACTCTGCCTCATAAGCGACTAAAAAAGGAAACACCCTAACTCTTTCAGCTTCTCTGGCTGTCCCCAAACTGACACTGTGAAGCCCACCCTCTTCTTTCATATGAACTGTTATACAAAGTTATGACCAAACACATCTCGTTAGACTTACCAAGCGCAGCCGGGTCTAACCTGCACCCCAATGGCAGCGGCCAGGCCAGCCGAGGAGCTTTTTAACCAGCAGGCTGTGGAACGACAACTACCCCTCCGCTGCCTACTAGGACCGGCCAATTCCAACCAAGCTTTAGCAGGCTGAAACTTTCCACGAACGCCGAGCAAGACCCGAACGCAGTCGGCTCTCACCCCATCGGCAACCATCGGCAATCTGGGATGGGGAGTAGCCCAAGCCTCCGGCTTGCCCCTCGCAGGCCTCCCCGGGCCTCGGCTCGCAGCACGGCCACCGCGCCGCCTCGCGCCGGCCTGCCCGAGCCCTTACCCGGACGGACCCGAACTCGGCGCGCCCGCGGCGCGTTCCCTGCCCGCCATCGACCGCCAGGACCCCCGCGGCCCCAGGCCCACCTGGAGCACACAGCTGAGTATCACGGCCCGGGGTACCCGGGTGTCGAGAATCACCCCCCTGCCCACACACACACCCGCCCCTGAGGGAGAGGCGAACGTACCTTCCAGAAAAACAGCCTGCCCAGCGCTGCCGCCGCTCTTGCCCGCCGCCATCTTCCTCTTCCCACGCCGCCTCCTCCTTACTCCATGGCCGGCACCGCCGCGGTGCTCGCGGGGAATGGGGGTCGCGCGGCGGGAGGGTAGCAGCCGCAGGTTGGCGGGCCTCGGGCTCGGCCGTCCGCGAGCGACGCTCCCCGCCGGGCCGAGCCGGGCCTCACACAAAAGCTTGGCCGACGCGCCCCGGCCTGTCTCGGGCGGACGGGAGGCAGTGAGGCCCCGCGGCCTGGCCTCCTTCTCCTCAGACTCCTACCGGGGCCCGCGAGCGGCGGCGGCGGCGGCGGCGCTTCCCGGGTCCGGCTTCCCTCGGCGCACGACTCCCCATCCACCACCCGCGCCGGCCTCCGAGAAGCTGCGCTCCGCCGCCGGCCCCGGGCGCGGAGAATGAGGCGAACACGCACACGCCTCCTGCGTCCCGGGCCGTAAAATGGCCGCAGCGGCGCGCCGAGCGAGGGCTCCGCGACCGTCAGGCGCCCGCGACCCCTCGCTGCTCCAGCAGTGGCCGCCGCCGCCCGCCCACCCCGCCCAGGCGTCAGAGCATCAGCCCAGGCCTAGGCGACTGTCCATGTGGACGGGGGTGGGTCTCCGCCACCGCCGAGCGTCGGTCGCCACAGCAGCCCCGTCGCCGCTCCTCCCCCACGGGGCTCCGGGCCCGCCCCGCCGCCTCTCCCTTCGGGCCTGGGTTTCCCCCCCACGGCACCGGCCGAACCCCACTCTGGGGCTTCCGGCCCGCAGGCCCTGCGTGGCGCCCGCCCGGCCTAGGCGGGAACAAAACCCCTTCCTCAGGAGGCCCCATGGCCGACCCGGCCTGTGAGCGCTTCCAAGCCTGCTGGTGAGGCGTTCGGCACCACAAATGTTAAACGCACCAAGTTCTTGTCTTTGAGGAGGCCTTCGAATTTAAAACGTGTGCCATGTAAAGAAAAAGGAAATGCAGCGAGGTAATGCAATCACTTTGGAAAATAATTCCTGTTCCCCTCCATCTTCAAAACAACGTGTAAGATTGGGCCAGTACCCTTTGGGCGTGTGGAAAAGAGAAGACCTTTGTTGTTTATCTAAAACACCAGACTCTATACCAGGCTATGGCTCAGACAATGATATAGTTTGTAGTTCTTTTTTCTCTTCTTACCAACTGGGTCTGGTGGCGTAGGCTTTTAATCCCAGCACCTGAGACAGAGGCGGGTAGAGTTGGAAACCAGCCTGGTCTACATAGTGAGATCCTTTTTCAAAAAAAAAAACAAAAAAAAAAAAAACATGGAAAATACAGAAATGAAAAAAGTTACCCTGTAAACAACTGAAATACAAGTCCCTTAGGTGTGTGGTATGCTAATAAGCAGTTTTTCTTTTCCTTTTAAATATTATTTTATGTGTGTGTGTGTTTGCCTGTGTTTACTTTGTGCACCCTGCTGCCTGCAGTTCCTTCAGAGGCCAGAAGAAGGTGCCCCGGATCTTTTGGAACTGCAGTTAGAGACACTTGGTGGCCTCCATGTGGGCACTTGGAACCAAATTGCTGAGCCCATTTCTCCAGCCACCTACCCCCTAATTTTGAGGTAGGGTCTCACTATATACCCCAGGCTTGCCTGGGACTCCCTGGGTAGACCAGGCTGACTTCAAACTCAAAGAGATCTGCCACCCCCTGCCTCTACCTCCCAATCGATGGGAGAAAAAGTGTGTGCCACCATGTCCTGCTCCTTTTTGGCTTTTGAGACAAGGTTTGGAGTATCCCAAGCTGGCCCTGAATTCCATCTGTAGCTAAAACTGGCCTTGAACTCCTCCTGACTCAGCATACCAAGTGCTGGGATTACAGGCAAGCACCATGACACCCCCTACTAGCACGTTCCCTAAATCTTCAGTATCCATCTTTAAAAACAAAAATCTAAGCTGGGCGTTGGTGGCACACACCTTTAATTCCAGCACTTGGGAGGCAGAGACAGGCAGATCTCTGTGAGTTCAAGTTCAGCCTGGTCTACAAAGTAAATGCTGGGACAGGCTCCAAAACAGTACAGAGAAACCCTGTCTCAAAAAGTCTATGCTGAATATCAGTGAAAACTCAATAGCAATTAAAATGATTCACAAATACTTGTTAAGTAAATCCTTGAACACTTACCTTCTAACTCAGTTGTTTATTAACCAAGACTCACAGACTCACATAGGAAACTTTTGATAATTTTTTATCTTATCCAACGGGGTGGCTCATACCTGCAATCCTAGTACTAGGAAGGCAGATCTCTATCAATTCATAACCAGCCTGGTATACATTCCAGGGGACACACTGAAACTTTGCCTCAAAACAAAAACAAACAGAAAGCATAGTAACTTAATATCTTTTACTGTGGTGACACCAGTATTCCCTCCTGATTTCACAAAAGTAACATAATGAATGTAATATGTTATAGTTTGTATTTTTATTGCCTAAGGAAGTACATGATTCTGTTGGGATACTCTTTGAGAGATATAGTCTGTGCCAATGACTCAGTATAATACCGAGGCTTGTAGGTAAAAGGTAGATGAGGGGTGACTAGTCTTACCTACAAAACATAAAGAAAGTATGCTTCTTGTTTAAAAATACACACATGCTGCTTTGTGGAGGAAGGTTCCAGGAATCAAGAGATACAGGTAGCCCCTCGAGGATGGCAAGGGTGAAGAAGCTGATTCTCCCCATGTCTAGAGAAAGAACTTAAGAGTCTTGATTTTAGCCCAGTGAGAGAGATTCTGTACTTACAGAACTGTACCATGATCAATTTGTAGTGAGTTGCCAACTTAGTGGTATCGTATTATCCCACTGTGGTAGCTCATACCTGGAATCCTAGTACATGGAAGGCAGATCCCTGTGAGTTCAAGGCCAGCCTAGTATACATAGGAATTTCCAGACCAGCAGGGGCTACACAGTAAAATTTTGCCTCAAAGCAAAAATATAGAAAATTAATACACAGAGTGAGAAACTGGGAAGTGTTGTCATTTTAGGAGAATTTAAGTAAGCTAAGTGTGATGGTGCATGCCTACGAGCATATCTCTGTGAATTCAAGGCTAGCCTGGTCTACATAGTGAGATCCTGTCTAATGAATGGATGGATGGACAGACAGACAGAAGGTTATGGCTTCATTGTTTTATATCTTTATTTTAGTTTTTTGAGGTGTAGTTTCTCTATGTAGCCCTGTCTGTTCTGGAACTCCCTGATGCGGACCAATCTGGCCTCAAATAGACATCGATCTACTTGCCTCTACCTTGCAAATCCTGGGATTAAAGTCATGCCACCATACCCTGCCTTACTTTTAAGTGTTTGCATTCAGCTAGTATCTGTGAAGTACCATCATTCCTATCTTAAAGCAGAATTTTAGATTAGACTAACTGAAAGCTTGTTACAACACATTGTTTTACCCAAACCCCTGACTTTCAGACCTAATGCCATCTCGAGTAAGACTAGAGAAACTGTGTTTCTAATAGGTTCCCAAGACACGTTTGCAGCTCATTGGGGCTATCCTTTTAGACTGAGATTTCAACCGTCTTTTAAATTCCTTTCTAGCTCAGTCATTCTCATACGGAGCCTGCAGCTAGAAATCATTTCCATGCTCAGGCATATTGATCAACCAAGAATCGGTAGTATCTTGCATTTAGCCAGCATTCAGAGCCTAGAAAATTTCGTATTTAGAAGATGTTTCTGTAACTATATATTCAGTAATCCTCAAAAACACTGAGTTAGCAGACCTCCTTTCCTCTTCTTTCTCCTGCTCCTCCTCCTCCCCACTTTTCCTAGGGGGCAGGTCGCCCTAAATAGCCAACGCTCCTATTGTCCCAGCCTCCTCAGTGCTGGATGACATACAGGTGTGTGCCACTCTGCCTACATCAGCCCTTCTTGACGCATACATTTTTGAAGCTCGTGGACATTATTACAATTACTGATGATTAATTCAAAAGTAGTTATCCTAGTTACTCAGTTTTGACTAAAAGTCAGCCATGGGCTAGCAAGGCAGTTGCTCTGCCAGCCTTCAACCCCCGAAGGTCGTTTTAAAAAGCCAGTAGAGGGCTATTGATTTGGCTCAGAAGGTAGAGGATGGCTAGACACTGGCTGTGCAAGCTCAATGACGGAGTTCCATCCTGGGAACCCATGTAAATGAAGGTGGAAGGGGAGACCAGCTCTCCACTTTGTGTCCCTGACCTCTGCATGCACACTCGTATACACACAGAAAATTGTAGTAAATAAAATACCTTTTTTTTCCAAGACAAGGTTTCTCTGTGGCTTTGGAGGCTGTCCTGGAACTCACTCTGTAGACCAGGCTGGCCTTGAACTCACAGAGATCTGCCTGCCTCTGCCTCCCAAGTGCTGGGATTAAAGGCGTGTGCCACCAACGCCTGGCTAATAAAATACTTTTAAAAGCCCAGATTAGCAGTGTGCATGTGCAATCCCATCACTCTTATTACAAGATGAGACACAGTGAGACTAGAATTGTCCCCAAGTAAGGAGGGAGAAGGAAGCCATCTCTAAAAGTTGTCCTCTGACCTCTACACACTCACACATATACACCCAATAATAATAAAGTTTAGAATAAAAAATAAGTCTACTTTAACCCTTTTTATTACCGTGTCTTTATCATTTAAATTTAACAAATGCCACTCAACTATCGGCCAACTTTAGGAAATGTTAATTTTGGCATAAAATGTAAAGGAGAAAAGCTAGGCTATTTTAGGTTTATACAAGTAGGCAATTATCAATAAATAATATGATGTATTGTTTTATTCTAATTATTCCATTGAAGACAATTTGGAGGACTAGGGATAAAGGTCAGTTGGCATTTGTTTAATACATATAAGGCACTGCCTGGCTCTAGTCCTACCACAGGGATCTTCTGTGCTCTTCACTTCAGTCTTTGTCACCATTGCCAGCTGAGGTCCTTACTGCTTATTGCAGAATAAATAAAACACATGCTACAAGCCGAGCCTTCCTTTAATTTACCGGAATTGTTTGCCGGTACACATACCTATTCTAGTTTTAATATCCTGATTTATAACAGAGACAACTCTCTGTCTGCAGGCCATTAGATTTTATCTTCCGTGTCTCAGAAAGCATTGACCCTACT